AGGTCTGGGCTCCTATAACCTGTTACATGTCTTGTATTTCACGTCTTCCTGAGCCTCATGCAGGGCTCAGCCGAGGAATAGGTCTGGGCTCCTATAACTCTGTTACATGTCTTGCATTTCACGTCTCTCCTCCGTGACTCTCCTACAACACATGGCTATGCGCTCCCAGTCCTGTCCCCGTGCCGTACACAGGGCCTGCTGGGCCCTCATGCAGGGCTCAGTGAGGGGATCTGTGATGGACTGGGCACTGGGCCAGGCATGGGGGGCGTGGGGGGAGGGGGTAGAGCTCAGAACCTGGACACCAACAGGACAAGCTAATTTAGGTGAAATGGCAGAATAAATAGTACAGAATTGTTCCCTGGTGGAGCACAGAGCGAACAAAGAGGTCATAGGAGTATTTATTTTGGTTATGTTTGTCTTATGAAAGGCTCCCCCCTCCTACACACACTTTAAAATAATCTTTCAAAAAGTACAGTTTAAGGCACAGACTTCATTAAAGCAAAAAAGTGCAATTAAAATCGGGTTTGTAATTACCTCGTGAGGGGACACTGGTCTCGTTACATTGAAGCTTTCTTCAACATCAGGAAGCCCGACATAGATGTTTAGATACCTGAGGAGGGAATGAGTGCATTACTGTAGCAAATTCTTTAGTATGGTTGTCTGGCCATAGTCTTTGTTATTCCCACCAAATGACCTTTTCCTGATGAGTCTGGGTACGGAGGTGGGAGAGATATATACACTGGCAGGATGATGATTCAGCTGTGACTGAACAGCGCTACTGCGATGGCCATCCTGCTGGGTATAAAACGAACCACCTCCAGAGCAGGAAACACGGTATCTCATCACCAGCAAGAGAGAAGAGCCAGGCGTGGGACATATCCTCTGGACCCCAAAATCCCTGTGCAGTGAATTCCTTGATCCAGGAGACAATGGGCAACAGAGGAGTATGCAGCAGCAGCAGCAGAACCAGGAACCAGAGCATGAGACCGACGCTTTGGTGGACTTCCCAGCGCACAGAGCAAGTACAGCTGGGCACAAGATCATTGCAGATATAATTACATCATGATAGGGACCTAAATCCAGTTACTATGGAAAGGTCCCAGAAAAAGGCCACGTTCCAAATTAAAAAACAAAAACAAAACCAGAGAGGATGTAGAGATTGGACCTCATATACACCACTGGTGAGCTTATAAATACATACAGCCACTGTGGAAAATGATATGGCAATAATTAACGCAAGTGGGAACTGAAGTTCCATGTGATCCAGCTATACCACTGTTAGGCATATACCCTAAAGAACTAAGAGACACAACATGAGTGGAGGTCATAGCTGCACAGTTCACAATAGCAAGAAACTGGAAGTAGCCCAAATGCCCAAGAATGGAAGAACGGATAAAGAAACTATGGTACATGCACACAGTGGAATACTATGCAACCCTGAAAAATACTGATGAAAGCATGAAATACCTTGATATGGAAGGACCTGGAAACCTTTATGCTGAGTGAAGTTAGTCAATCACACAAGGACAAGTATTGTATGAGTCTACTTTATAGGGAGAAACACCAATTAAACCTTAGGGACAAATTTCTGAACTAAAGGGGAGAAGGCTACTGACCGGTCATGAACCGAACATCACCTCCCTTATGTGCACTTCACAAGAGCCATCTTGAAGAAGGAGACCTCACATTGTGTTGGGTCACTCCTTCAAGAGGGGGAAAATGGGAGAAGACCTTCCACTTAAGGCTATACAACATCAAGACAAGGCTGGGTCAAATCAATGATCCCTACCACCCCCACCCCCATCCCCACCCCCAGGAATGGAAGGAGAACCTTCCCAGAAAAACCAAACCAAGACCAGGGGAGGGGAGCAGCTCCATTTTGGAGGAGACACTGATAGTTCTGTTGGTAAGTATGGTGGGTGATTAGGGAGAAGTTAACCTCACATTGGGAAGGAATGTTAATCAATGATTGTAGGGGATCCAAGGGGACAATGGAACAGATTGTATGTTCCTGGGTAGAAACTATGTATATGGGTCCACCCGACCCTCGGTGAATCACGTCATGGACCAAGCACCATGATGACCTTGGATGCTGACCTTGCAGGCAGCATGGCATAACCCAGGGGCTACACGAGATGGACTTAACCTAGAGGCCCAGTAGAAGGAACTGAGCCCTGACTTGAAGTTGCCTACACCCTTGGATTGAGGACTGTGGAACTCGGATGGGAGAGGAAGCAGAGTGGCTACCCTGGACGTGTAGAAGTGGTACTCATTGCACCTTGTGGGGAATCCCCAGTTTGTTGGGTGTCCAATGGAAAGGGACCCAGAATCACCATGTATTTAGTACCTTGATGCCCACTTCCAGTGATATGATCGGTTTTGACCTGTGGGACAGGAATCTGCATGGGGAAGAATTGATCCAGGAAGTTTCCCCCTGGCACCACAATCCCCATACTTAAGGTAAATCGAGCTCAGCTGAATAGGAGATGGAACCATGTAAGGCAGCAGTTCTCAACCTTTCACAGGAGTCGCCTAATACATCCTGAATATCAGATATTTACATTACGATTTGTAACAGTACAAAATTACAGTTATAAAACACCAACAAAAATAATGTTATGGTTGGGGGTCACCACAACACGAGGAACTGTATGAAAGGGTCATGGCATTTGTAAGGTTGAGAACCATTGATATAGGGCAACAACTCATGGGGTGTGGCTCCAGGGTGGAACTGTACTTGAACAGACTTCAAATAGGGGCAGCGTTTGGAGGGCTGGGTCATTCAGCAAAAAATGTTGTTATAAGTACAATCAACTTATACCCCAGGGGGGTGATTGACAATGTTTCAACTTTTGGTTTTTATTTTCCTGCCTTTTGTTTGCTTTTGTTTTGTTTACTCGCATGCTGGTTGGTTTGTTTCTGTTGGTAGTGTAGTTTGGTCTTATGGGATTTTGATTTTGTCATAATACAACAGCCTAAGTAAACCTGAGTCATGCGCATACCGTAACTGGCCTCAATTCAACAATACCTCGTTCTGTTAACATGGCCCTGCTCAATATTCACCTTCATGAAATGATCACTGAAGTTAAGTGTGCAACAGCAAATTATGGTGAAGAAGCAGATGGTGCCCGGCTGTCAATCAGAATAGTGTCTAGGGCCTTAAGGCTTGTATTTCAAACATGCAGCCATCTAAGTGAAGAGTCAGCTAATTCCACATGAAAGAAGCACACAAGCTTGTGTGCTCCAAAGCCAAAAATAACAAAATCCAAACATAACAAAGGGAAAAGTATCAGAGCTTAAATTAAAAGGCTATGGAGGAGAGTGGAGGCCGAAAACTCACCTACAGAGTCTCTAGTCAGATTAAGGCGATGGCAGATCCCTTTGGCTACAGGCAAGGGTTTCAAACAGCTTTACTATCAGATAGAGATTATTGTAAACTTGATTATGCTGGATCGAACTTGATACTTAGTCAGCTGACCTCCCTCTAGACCAGTGGTTCTCAACATTCAGTTCCTTATGTTGTGGTGACCCCCCTCCCCCAAACATGAATTTTCATTGCTACTTCATAACTGTAATTTTGCTACTGCTGTGGATCAGACGACGCCTTTGAAAGGGTCGTTTGACCCTCATAAAGGGGTCTCAACCTACTGCTGCTCTAGACCCAACCTGAATTTGTACTAGGTGCAAGTAGTTCTTGCTTGTTCCATGACAAAGAATGTCTTCCCTAGCTTTTTAAATATGGATTGGGGGGGGGGGGGGTGTCTTTCTTTCTTACTCATTACTTGTATTTTTATCTTTATATTATTTTATCCTTAAAAAAATTAGTACCAGGGACTTATCAAAGATAATGATTAATGGAAGCTCATTATGCTTGGAGGAGAGGGTGGGATGATTGATAAGACTCTCTATCCTAACAAGGAGGGTTTTTTCTTACCTAAAAACAAACAAAACATAGATCCAGGAATAGGTTTGGAGCTCCCACTAAATCCTAGCTCCAATTTAAGAACAATTAGTTCTTACATCATGGCCCTGCTCAATAATCACTCAGGAAGAGACACAGAAGATATGGGTGCTACAGCAAAGTGTGGTGAAGAAATTAGATGGTGCCTGGCTAACAGATAAAATAGCGCCTGGACAAAGGGCATTTACAGAGGTCTAGATAAAGACATGTACATATGCAAATATATTTATATATGAGAGTGGGGAAATAGATCTATGTGCTTATATTTACAGGTTTAGTATTAAGGTAGCAGAAGGACTTTGGGTCTCCATTCCAAGTACTCTCTCAATGCAAGAATACTTTGTTCTATTAAATTGGCATTCTATGATGCTCACTTTCCCTACACAACCACTGAAGACAAAACGGATGAAGAAACAAATGTGGTGAAGAAAGCTGATGGTGCCCGGCTATCAAAGGATATAGCGTCTGGAGTCCTAAAAGCTTGAAGGTAAACAAGCGGCCATCTAGCTCAGAAGCAACAAAGCCCACATGAAAGAACACATCAGCCTGTATGATCACGAGGTTCCGAAGGGATCAGTTATCTGGTGTCAAAGAACAAAAAATCATATCATTGTGTGCTCACCTCCATGATACAATTGCTGAAGACAAATGGGTGCATAAGCAAATGTGGCGAAGAAAGCTGATGGTGCC